CCAATCGCTGCGTTGCTTTTCGTTGACTGCTTTGATTTGGCGCGTCCTCGTTGAAGACGTTGGCTCCGTTTGTTCGGGAGACGTTTCCTTGGGAAACACCTCTGGAGCTGTTCAGCCAGGAGAATCCCAGTTGGTTGCGTTGGCAAACGCTGACGGAGAAGCTTAGAACGTGTGGTCAGGCGGATGGTGCATGAGTGCAGGAAGATTGGCTCTGTTAGCCAGCATTGGTGACTGCAGCATGAGTTCAGATGCTGTCACAGTAACTATTTTAAGGACGCTCAACCCTGACCTTTAGAGACTACATTTTTAACTTCAACACGACTTCCCATAGCTGTTGTGGCCATAAATAGTTCACTTTGTTTAGATAATTTTCTTGTAGAACTTCTCTGAGCACAAGATCAGGGTAGGAATATACAACTTGTGTTTATATGAATAATTTTTTTTGTTTGTTTGTTTTGGAACCTATTTTCTCACAGCTATGAAATGTTTGTTGGTTTTTGATTTTGACCATACAATCATAGATGAAAACAGCGATACCTGGATTGTGAAATGTGCTCCTGAGAGAAAACTTCCTAATGGATTAAGAAACTCCTACCAACCAGGACACTGGACAGAATACATGGGCAGAGTCTTTGTCTACTTGGGCGACAGTGGTGTCAAAGAAGATGAGATGAAAAGAACTATGACAACAATTCCTTTCACTGCGGGAATGATAGATCTTCTGAGGTTTATTGGCGAGAACAAAGAGTTGTTTGATTGCATAATTGTTTCAGATTCCAATACAGTATTTATTGACTGGATTTTGAAAGCTGCTGACCTCCACAAGGTGTTTGATGAAGTGTTCACAAACCCTGCAGCATTCAGCAGCACTGGCTATCTCACTGTACAGAACTTCCATGCTCACTGTTGTGCAAAGTGCCCTAAAAACCTTTGCAAAAGGAACGTTTTAAAAGAATTTCTAGATAAACAGTTGGAGCGAGGAGTAAGTTACACACAAATTGTATATATAGGTGATGGTGGGAATGACTTATGTCCAGTAATGTTTTTGAAGAAGAATGATATTGCTATGCCCAGGCAGGGGTATACCTTGGAGAAAAAGATCAGTCAACTGGCCCAAGATCTCAGTCCTGTAGAGTGTTCTGTTCTGGTTTGGTCATCTGCTATTGACATTCTGTCTTACCTGAAACTGCTGGTAAAGGAATCATTCAAATGATAAAAGGACACCGATATAGCTACATTTTAACTTCCTGGGAGAGAAGAACTGCATGTGTATAAAAGCACAAAATTGTAAAATTGGGCAATTATCTGAATTTTTATTTTTTAAACACAAGGTACAACTGTTTATGTTCAATCTTGGCAATAACAGGAAAGTGTAGTAAAAATGACCTAACATAGCATGCATTCCAGCATAATTGGTTTGTGAAAGGACTTGTCATTACTCTTTAGTGTACCCCCTCCCCACCAAGCCTTTACCAACTCTATGACTGACCTTTGCTGTCCCGTGCATTTCGGGGAAGGAGTAGGATTAGTGCACTTACAGAGCATTAGGTGCCAGGAGCATGGTTCTGGAACTGCTGGCTTTTATACTTCTTTGTTCCAATTGTAAATTATTTGGTATGCTTGTAATCTTGTTTGTTCTGAAGATGCATTTATATTTTCAGCCTACTAAATATTTTACCGAACAAAATTACTTTTTATTAGTTTGTATTATCTTGTATTGTAAAGCCAGTAAAAGTTGCTGTCACTGACAAATGCAACGCAACTACTTTGTGTCATGGATTCTGCTGCCTGTGTGTCATCAGGCACCTGTTCTCATAAGGGCCTGGGGGGAGTGAACACAAGTGTAGCTGTCAGCCCTTGGCTAACACTTTCCTTTGTTTTGCCAGTCAGACCTTTTCTCTTCTGGAAAGCAGTAAGGGTGCTGCAGTTTTATTTGAAGAAAAGTCTCTCTCCCATTCTGACTACTACCCCGACAGTGTGCTGCTGCCACTCTGTAGAGCTAATGCTGCTTTGATTTTCCATGCTGACAGCTTTGAGTCGGACAGGTGTCTTTTTCTTGCTGGGTTTCTATTGCAATGCACAGGCCCATAGAATGGTGCATATATATACATGTTTACACTGATTTTACCTATTCACCCTCATCCTTATCTATGGTATAGTCCTCTCTCGCAGGCCATTTTAACTTTGAAACAGAATTGTTCTGCCTTTAAATAGTTTTAAGGAATCATTTGTGAACGTGCAGTCTTTCTCTTTACCACTGACAGTGAGATGAGCCCCAAGAGTTGGGCTATGCATATAAAGATACTAAGTCTCATTAAAGTTAAATAATGTATTTTCATGCCAAATGTTTTCCTTCTTATAGTCCCACAAAAGGTCCAAAATGATGATGTAGTCTGCTATTAAACTGATGTTTTAGCTTTAGTGCTTTAATGACTGAGGAATCCAGCTTTCACAGCACTTCAGTTGCAGATGTCTGAGGTGTAGGTCAGGAGTTTGCAATTGCTCTATGTGTCTTCTTTTCTTATCTGTGCAGCATTGTTCTCATTTTCTCATAGGCATTTGATGTTGTCACTGCCCTTTTCCTTAACTGAGGATTTTTAGGAGGGGTCTCACCTGTTTTCAGGCTGATAGCATATACAAATTAAGATTTGCTTTGCATACTTCCTTACTCGCTTCACCTGTTTTAATGAATTGTAGAAGGTTGCTTTGAACAGTCTGATGTCTAAGATGCCCAGAGTAACATACATGAGTTTTCAGGAGCTTTGCTTTAATGATGGGTATTTGTTAGGTGTCTGAGATGTTTGTATTCGAGGTGTTGCCCTATTGTTTTGTGCAAGGGCATGAAGACAACATCTGAAGAACTGGTGGGTCTCAAGTTGTGGCAGGTTTAAGTTGTGCAATTTACAGGCCATACAAAAAAAATGGTAATGGCTGTTGCATAGGATAATTTTGTATTTTATTTTGTTTTCTAAGTTGTTGCTGTGGTTTAAGCCCAGCTGGCAACTAAGTACCACACAGCTGCTTGCTCGGTCCGTGCCCTTCCCTCAGTGGGGAGGAGAACTGGGGGGAGACCTCATAGCAACTTTTCAATATCTGAAGGGCCTACAAGGGACCCGGAGAGGGACTCTTTGTTAGGAACTGCAATGATAGGACAAGGATAGGTAATGGATTCAGACTGAAGGAGGGGAAGTTTAGGTTAGATATTAGAAAAAAGTTTTTTACTGTGAGGGTGGAGAGACACTGGTACAGGTTGCCCAGGGATATGGTAGCTGCCCTGACCCTGGCAGTGTTTAAGACCAGGCTGGATGAGGCCTTGAGCAACCTGCTCTAGTGGAGAGGTGTCCCTGCCCATGGCAGGGAGGACTGGGACTAGATGATCTATAAGGTCCATTCTAACCCTTAAATTCTATGATTCTATGAAAAATTAAACCTTATGGGTTGAGATGAGAACAGTTTAATAATTGAAACAAAATAAAATAGAGTAGTACTAAATTATTAACATAATTGTAATGAAAAAGAGAGAGGAATAAAGTCCAGGAGAAACAAGTGATGCACATGCAGTTGCTCACCACCCACTGACCTATGCTCAGTCCATCCCCCGAGCAGCAATCAGCCCCTCCTGGTCAACTCCCCCCAGTTTATCTGCTCAGTGTGACATTCTGTGCTATGGAATATCCCTTTGGCCAGTTTGGGCCAGCTGTCCAGGCCATGCTCCACCCCAGCTCCTTGTGCAGTTCCCCACTGTCATGGCATGGGAAGCTGAAAAGTCCTTGACTTCGGGAAAACCCCACTTAGCAACAACCAAAACATCAGTGTGTTGTCAACATGATTCCCATAGTAAATCTAAAACACAGCACTGAATCTGCTACCAAGAAGGAAATTAACTCTACCCCAGCTGACACCAGGAGTGTTGTGTATTGCCTTAATTTTAGATGTACTGCTGAATGTTCCAGAAGCTGTGCGGGTCTCTGTGTTTCAGAACTTAGGTGTGGGGTAGCTTGCTTCCAGTTTGTCCCCAGATCTCAGTTACTGCTTAAAAACAAACGAAAAGTAGTATATCAATAATTACTCAACTTTTTCTTCCACTTACATTAATTATTGTTCTTTTAGCCTGAAGGAAACTACCTTGTCGTTTGCTGTGAGAGAAATTGGGTGAGAAATTATTCTTCATGTTTAAAAAGGGGTTCTTTTTATGGTTTGATGGAAGTACCAAAGCAGGAGTACAGAGTAGATTAAGCCAAGTAGACTACTTGAAATATTAGCAATTATGGTCTAATCACTTCAGGTGATTAGAGGGTAGAGCTGATGCTATTTGCTAGACAAAGTGCGTATTGGAGACAAGATATTTTTCAATTCCAGTAGGCAGACCATTAAGCTCTTAATAGGATCTTCTTTGTTTTGTTGTTTTTTTTCCCTCTTAATAAAAGAGAAGAAAGGACTTTTCTGAAACACCACAATTACCACATTTTCCGCATTTGGGCATAAGGGAGGGGGGATGAGTACCTCCAAATTGTGAATGTGATTTAAGCTGGTAATCCAGCCAAAAGAGAGAGAAGCTCCTTGAAGGGATGTGTGTTCAGCACTAAGTGTTGCTGACCCCCAGGTTTGCTGGCAGTTTAAACCAATATGCTGTATGGGAGGGAGATGACTTAGGGAAAATGTTATGAAATGCATAACTGAAGGCACATGTGTATGGGAAACTTTCTATATGTAACAGGTCTGCTATCATACACCAGCTACTATGAAGAGTACTTAGCCTTAGTATTATGTGCTAGTAGGATGGCCAAGACCTGGAAGAAGTTCCTGCTTGTCCATAGGAAGCTGATGAAGTGGAAAATGCAAAACAACGGCAAAACAAAGCTGTTGGCATGGGGATGTGAAGGCACATGTGTATGGGAAACTTTCTATATGTAACAGGTCTGCTATCATACACCAGCTACTATGAAGAGTACTTAGCCTTAGTATTATGTGCTAGTAGGATGGCCAAGACCTGGAAGAAGTTCCTGCTTGTCCATAGGAAGCTGATGAAGTGGAAAATGCAAAACAACGGCAAAACAAAGCTGTTGGCATGGGGATGTATAAACAGACTCAGGGCTATACAAGGCAATGCTCCAGAGAAAGAACTGGAGTGACGTATCTGAGGGACAGGCCCATATCAGAGTCAGCAGGGCTGTTGCTAGTTCCTGGGGTACACTGCACAACTCCAACTCTCTGGGCTAACAGTGCATCAAGAGGGGTTGAAAAATCTGACGGCAAAGATGTGTAAAGGTGTGGTTTGGGTTTGGGTTTTTTTTGTGTATTTTTTTGTTTGTTTGTATCAGCGTATTTTTGTCTCGTTATTATGTAAAGGCCAAGGGTAAGTTTGAATCCTGTTGCATGGTTAGTGTGGGAGGAGGGATGGTAGAGGGGTATGTCCATATACACTGTCCTGTTTGGATTCCCTCAGTTCATGCTTCTGGTGAGCATCATGGAGGAAATACCACCTGTAATTAAAAGAAAAACAGAATGCTTTTTAATCTGTGTAGAGCAGGAGCTCTCCTAATTTCCCCTTTTGAGTACTGCTGGCACTTAGCTAATAATAACAAATATCCACTTCCTTTTGATAGGAGAAACTCCTGCCAGTCCTTTCAATCCAGCAGAGCTCTGGCAGGGCAGGGGGAGCTTGGCTGCTGGATCCAAAGGATCCAAACCCTGCTGCAGATGAAGGAGGGCCACAGCTGCTTGAAACCAGACGACGCCGTGTTTCAAATAAAGGTCTCCACTGCCGAAAATGCTTCGCTATCAGAGAAGGAAAAAGCTTCTTGAACTGTGAACCACATTTTCAGAAGTTGTAAAAGCCGATTTAACCTTCTTCCTGAATATTTTACTTATAGCTGGAGCCTGTCGGCATAATTTTTAAGTGTCCTTTGCACCCTGCCAGGTTTGGGTGTTTGGGGAGAGCTCTGGCTCCTGCCCTCTGGTACCAGGGGAGCCCCTGGAGCTTGCTGCTCTTCCCAGTGTCGCTGCCCCGAGCGCGCCCCGAGAGGCTGTCAGCGGCAGCCGCGGCCCCGGCTTTGTGTGGCTGAGTGACACCGAGCGGTGACGCTCCC